AAGGCATTGAGAGTAGCCCCAGTAGTAGAGAAAATAAGGAGAGAAAAGAGATGAATCGCATGTTACAAGGAGAACGTTAGTTATGAGTATGGTATCTCCACCGGTAGAGGTAGTACTAGAAAGAGATGAACGGATTGCGTGTAAGGTGACATGTTTAAGGAAGTGGTAACTGAGATAATAAATAATAGAGTCATCTAGTGAACGAAAATCTTTCGCGCTGACCCTACAGAAGTAGGATAAGGGGAGAAGATGATGAATTATTCGCGTATGTTTTAAGAACATGCGTTTTGATTAAAAATATTGAAATTGTGAGTGCTGAACAACTCAAATGTTGTAATTTGATAGCTACGAGTATGTTGTTTATAAACATCTATAGTCATGTTTCATTACCATGACGGTAAGCAACAGTACAACAGTGTTGAGTAAAATGGTTTCACTTACAATTTCTTTTGTGAATCGTTTGGAAAGAACTTTAAAATTTAAATAACCGCAGGCGGTAGATAAAAAGCAACTCGATCAGTGTCAACTAGGGAGGCCAATTCGATAGACGATTTATTGGAAAAAGTTGTGAGAATGGAGTGTTTTGTTGACGCCTTAGCCTTTCCTTGGCACCGTTCCAATGTAATTTAACTTTTCCTCTTTAAATATGCTGAAAAAAGGGTATAGATTGAACCAAAAAGTTTGCAGAATTTAATAAATCTTCGAATATCACAAAAAGCAATTGTTTAAGTTATACAATTAATAATTTTAAATATTGCTTCACCAGTTTACAATACGTCCCCACTAAAGGGCTCCGAGTCTACCCTGTGTTAGGGTGACTAGGCCATAGTCAGCCATGCTGGTCCAGTGCGGTTTGACCTCACACATATATTTGTGTTCTACACATATATTTGTGTTAATTTCTTCGCAGTGTATGTGCAGGTTGCATCACGATGTTTTCCTTCACAGTTATTATATAGATATTATGTTTTAATTATTTTAAACCTTAAAGCTTACGTCAGTCTAAAAAAACAGGACGCAAAATAGCATTATTTTTATAACGAATCTATCAAGAAACATTTACGCAATCAGTTCTTAACGATAAGCCATAGCTATGAAGTTGAGAAGTTAAGTTCAACGAAGTCAAAACAAAACTGTATAGAAACTATACTTGAAGAGTTTCACTGAGTTATTTAAAACAAATCCTTAAGATTTTACAAGAAGGTTACGTCGATAGAATTCAGTATTCAGATGTATGGGAAACTTTAACAATATAACGCAGCCATAGAATTTTCTTGGCAAAAAAGTTATAAATTTTCAAAGTAACGTTAATTAAAGAAATTCAATAACTTCAGCTCCTTGAATTTTTTATGAATAATCAATAAGTTAGAACTTAAATTCGATCCGAACAAAGTAAGTTTAGTTAGGAAGCTAAGTTCAAATTCAATTATTGCCATCATCATTGAATAGTCGTATAAAAACAATATATAAAATTGGTTTGAAAACTTTGTAGGTAAGTATTTTAGTCAAAAAATACAATTATGATCACTGAAAGATTTCTTGAACAAAGCAAGACGTTGCAACAACAATTGCAACCGTTGAAGCACTTCTAAATCCAATAAATGAATTTGCTACATTGGCAATTTAATGTCTTGTTGACGCTACACTTTTGGCAAAGATTCAATTTTAAAGGAAGTTTTCGTGTAAACAAAGGTTAGTTTTCCGTTAAATTCTACAAGTAAATTTGTAACAAAGATTAAGGAAGAGGCAATAAATAAGTTAAAAGCAATCGACTGATACGTTTTTAAAAAATAATAGCACTGACGCTTTTTAATGGTGAAATTGCAAACGATGCCCATTATGTGAATAGTTCACTAATTTAAGAATTTGTTAACAAAACAATTATGAACTACATATTAACTTAGTTTGTTCTTAAATTCTGTATGTAATAATCTTCACTTTTGGAAAATATAATTTGAACAGCAATATTTGAATAATCGTGATTTTCTGCGAATCACCTTTACGTTCATTAATTCGCGTTTCGGTAAAATAATTTAAGCACTGAAATATACGGAATAACTTTGTTTCATGTATTAAATACATTTTTTTTACAGAAAAGTTTTACCGCCTTTTTCGATTTTTATTGGATATAACATTTTATCTTAGCAAACATGTAATAAAAGGTTACACGGAATTATTTTGATTTGTTCGTAAATCAATATTAGATGTTCTATACAAAACAACTTCAAATATGCATTAAAACTAATATCTTAACTAAATATCATTTTAAGAGGGATTTCTGTACGATATCTCGTGGAACATGCGACATCTTGCAATTGCCGATTGAATTTGTCGTTAAATTAAATTGTTTCTCGGCTTCGTTCATATTAAAAAAGTTTCAAGAATACCATTTCTTATGAAATTCTAATGATAAGTAAAAAGGCTTCAGATAGGTTCTGTCTACTATAAACGTTTTTATTATCTTAATTAAAACAATATTGAAACAATTTCAATTATTATAGCAATGGAAGAAACATTTATTAAATTAAAAAGAACTCTATGATAGAAATGCAGACTTTTAAATTTCTTCTTAATGGATTCGATTAAGGAGAGATAAAAGACTTTTGTAGATACTCAATACAGATAGTTTGAGAGATTTTAGAGTAGATTTCCCTCAATGTCTTCGAAGGTAGATTTTTAATTTTATGAGCCATCGAAACGAAGTATAACAATTTTGATAAAACAAAACCACACGATTGTTCTTTAGTAATCCAAATTCTTTGTCATGATTTTATTAACATCTGAAACTCTATTCAAGTCACGTTGCCAAGTTCCTGTACTATCTGAATCATAACACTTCGTAACTCGCGACTATTTCGATCCATTGAACCTACTTTATGACTAGATGTCGGCAGAAAACTTCGATGTAAGAAGATATACATCATACAAATTATATTAGACGAGAAAAGTTTCATAATGTCGTACTCCCGACCACGCTAGCACGTTTCATGGTACAGGAAGTATAAATTGTTGAAGAAAACATATATCTATTATACTCTTATATTAATATCAATCATTTTTATATTATAAATGCGAAAGTTGGAACGGATATTTGTTACGTTTATCTCCAAAAAGGGTTAATAAGTCTCGATGAAATTTGACACAGAACATAGAACGTAGAACATAGTCTGGAACGCATAGGATGCTTACTTTAAACGCGAAGATAAAACTGTTGAAAAGGGAAAACTGAAAGTGGAAGCATAGAAGAGAAATCTTACCATTTCCAAATTGAAAGTAGACATCATTTTTAGTCGCGTTAATTATATTTTTAAACCCAGGTTACGTATCATATATTTAATATACTCGTATTTTATGCGATTTACTATCGCAATATAACTAACAAGTTTCTACTAACTTTAATGCTGTAATTCAAAATAATATGACACGAAATTACTTAGTTGTCGAGTGAGTTAAATTACTTGTTTCTCTGAAGCTATTGTTACTTGAAATAAAGTTAAATTATAACGTCCCAAGGTGTCTCGAGTTTGTGAGAATTCATATTAATCAGCAAACAAGTGGAAAATGTGAAATGATCTTTTGATTAAGTTATGAAGTGTTAAATTCTTCGTAAGTAATCTTAATTGATTTCGTTGTAAGGCTACATTTGAGTCTTATATTTATGTCCTTATTTTTTTTTTTTTAATGTGAGTGACGACATGTAGCAATACTAATGTCAAATGTAGCAAACACCATCGTTTTACTCAGGTCTAGTGTTAAATAAATCTCGCTAATGCGTTTAATGCATCTTTATAGAACAAAATTAAATTGTGATTTCAGATAGTTATGTTATAATTGATTTTCCCAGGATTCTGTACGAATACAAATAAACTTTAGTATTAGCCTGTGTTCTTCTAGATTATACTCCACGTATGCTAAAGAGATTGGTTGAATACTTCTAGATATGTTTTCGAACAAACATTAGAAAGATGACAATAAAGAGGCAAAAGGTTAGTACTGTGTTTTTGTAGTCACATTTTAGTCATCATCCACTTGCCGTTAACCCTTACGGAGGGTCGGCACAGTATGTGCTGCTCTTCCATACATCTCTATCAGCCGTCATATCTGAATCCACTCCTTTCTTAAGCATATACTCTTTCATACAATCCATCCAAAGTTTCTTCGGTCTTACTCCACCTTTGTAGCCATCCACATTCAATTTTAACACTTTCCGGTTTATATCCCTATCGTTTTGTCGCATAACATGTCCATACCATAATAACCTTTTGTACAATATTTTAGTGAGGTAACTTATAATTTAGTGGCCATACAAAAGTCGATTACGTTGTCACCTTAAAATTGGCATGATTAAACTAAACTGAATGTTAATATTCTTGTGTACTGCGTGGTTGACGTAAATAAAGTAACCACTAACATCCAATGTCATATAAATTAATCCAGGACCTTGTTCAAACTAGCGCTTACTAGCAATATTACGAATTGCCTTGTAATCCTCACATGAACAACTGAAGTATGTACTCTTGTATACCGTACCGTTTTCACTGCAGAAACACTTTGAAAAAACAAAATAACAATATGTTTTTGGGTACGACAGTAAAAACTCAATATCGATAAATTTTAATTCCAACTATAACAATAAAAACAATAATTTAGGAAAAAGTACCGAAACATAAAAACATGCTATGCATTTTTAATTTTTTTTCACGATAAAATGTTTTCGTAACTTCGTATTATTGGCTTTTTTATTAAATAAAAAATTTTGTGTCTGTACACATAAAGATGAGTCTGAAAGTCTGTATAATGGTATAACGTTATGACATCCAATCTGAATTTATTAATGGAATGTGGTGACCAAAAACGTACTGTATGTACTGTATGTACTGTACAAAACATAAAGAGCGTTTTTCACATGTTCTACTGAATCTACTATATTGGCTTATAGTCTTAATCATTTTGTTTAAATTATTACGTCATGTTAGTTATTTAAAATAATTATTTCTTACCTTTGTGCATAATATTCGAAGAATGCGACGAGGATTTCAATAGATCTTGTCATAGCTGCCCACATTTCGTGACTTTTGCATTTTGAGGTCATCAACGGTGTTAATCTTGACGGATCGTCAGTCATTTAAACTGGGATTCATAATAATAAAAGTCCAACAATTTTATACACTTAAAATATAAAATGAACCCGCTATTTGTGTAACTAAGATTTAAATCTATTATTATTAATAAATTTAAATTCAATTATTAATAATAATCAAATTGAGATACGATTTTACTTCTATAGTACACACTACGGCTTACACCTACGTAGCAACAATTGTAAGCAACAGGTCAACGACCTATTTCAAATGCATTTAATAAACGAATATTAAAACAAAATACATTATTATAATAAATATTGTCACTGGAAAATAATAATTAAAATTGACACTAAGCGTACTAAATCAAATTAATCAATTACAAGAAATGTAACTAAGTTAGTTATTTTTTAGTTAGAAATTAATAGAAAAAAAATTAGTTATGAGATATTTGACAAATATAAATTTGATATTTCTCGTGTTACGTAGGATGCGTTCGCAACAACCAACCGGTGTCCGTGGACTGCCGGTGGGATCTTATAGCGCATGCTCCCAGCGTAAATTGTAGCTCACAATGACCATCCTCATCGGTCCCCCTCTCCCGTCCCCATCCTAAGGGAATAGGACGAAGCAGGGTTGTTGGTAAACAAAGCGAGGGGTCAACATTTATTGGTCATCGTTAACAACGACAAAACACATAAACGGCATACACTGCTTATATAAGTAACAGAATCCACAGTTGGTTTGACTTTTTACTTGAATTTGATCCAAGGCCGTTTCAGACAAAAAAGCTTTGAGGTTTCAGTTAATCTTGAAATGAATGTACACTAATAACAATAGAAGAGTCTTCCGTTTTGAAATCACTCAATATATTGGTTAAATATTTAGATTTTTACTATTTTTGTATAATTATTGGCGTAAGATTATCACATGACTGATTGATTAAAACGTTTAACTAACTATATTTCTAGGTAATCGTACTAATATTATGATTGCGAATGTTTAGACGGATAGATAAGTGGTTGTTAGTGTTTGCCGCCTAAACTGCTAAATAGATTTCGAAGAATGTAGATCCTAGAATGGAAGAATACAAAGGAAACTTACTCATGTATTTTTTTTAACTCCACGCAGACGGAGTCGCGAGCAAAAGCGAAAACATAACATTTTTAACATGGCCACAAACATGAAGAATGGGATGTTTGCCAAAACATAATCAGATAAAAGAATAATCATATTTTAAAAGTCCAAAACAAGTAAACAATAATATATCAGTATTTTCTAATGTACAATGTTTTATTCATTGTAATAAATATTTAAACGACCAATATCCTTGACCTAGAGATGTAATTGCAATTTCCAGTTCGTTGGTCGAAACGCGAACACACGTCGGAACAGTTATGCAGAATTTTATCTCGTTAGAATCTATTCAATACCAGTCAACGAGTAATATACTAAAACTTTAAAACTGCTTTACCAATATTAAAAAATTATTTTACCATTGGAAAGATACATTATCTCTGAGTAACATCGGCTATATATTTTTTTATAATTTCACGCAGACGAAGTCGTGATCCAAAGCTAGTTTTCAAAGGGAGAGATATTTAATTTTAACAGTGGTAGATCCCGCTGTGACATCTTTGCACGAATGGGCCGGCTCGCCCGGTGAAATACCACGACCACACAGAAAACAGGCGTGAAGTGGAAGCAATTCCACGTTTCGTCTGATGAGTGTGGTGCCGGAGGCCTAATTTTGGTCCCTTTTCCTTTCCACCCTTTTCTTGAGAGTAAAGGATGGGAAGGAAAAGTGGATTTGACGGTGGAGGAGATGCATCGGAAGGGGAAATGTCCTCTTTATGTGTGTCTCCTCCTCCTTCAAGGGTAGGCAACGCATCTGCAATTGCGGATGTTTATGGGCAGCGGTCGCTTTCCATTTCGGTGGATTCGGGTGGCCGCTTGCTCGATTGCCACCTTATATTATAAAAAAAAATAATTCGATGATCATTATTTTTAATTTAACTACAAAAATAATTTAGAACGAACTATTTTAAATTCATTGAAGTTTTCAACATTTAGGTTTTGCGGTTTAGATATAACGCTTACCACAACCACTAAACGTGATTAAAATATGAAAATTGTAAATCGATGACAGAGTAGCGTGTTTAGCTTACACGCAACCTTAGTAGGTTAACGTGCGTTAGTGCGATGTAGAGTTATTATTTTTATATAATTTTACTGTAACACATTTATAATAGATACTCTTTGGTATAAATTTTATTCAAAAACTCTTGCGAAAGTTTAATTGAATAGATGAAAGGATGGATGTTAGTTAGAATTTGTGGCCTAAACTGTTGAAGGGATCTCGGTGAAAATTGCCATAGATGTAGAGCATGCTCTGGAAGAACACATAGGATACTTAGTTTTTTAATTCCACGCGGACGGAGTCGCTAGCGAAAGCTAGTTACATATAAAATCAAAGATAAAACATGAATTTAAAATTTTATAAGTCTCTTTTTACGTTTTGTGGAATGATAACGTAATCTAACAATCAAACTGTGAAATAAAAACATTATTAAACCATTATCGTGTAATTTAAAAAAAGAAAACATTTTAACTCACATTTCTAGCGAAGAACATTCTGTGAAACGAAATTCGATATAGGAAGCAGAGCTTAGCACTTTTGCCGTGTCTGTGCGGTTGCTATGGCAACCTAATCGATTGATACCCCGCCGCTGGCCCATTCTCAACGACTGAGAAGAACTAACTTTAATCTTGCTAATTTGATTCTACGAGTAGTGCATAACGTATTGAAATTTGTTATGAAATGAAATTATATTAGAAATTTACTGGTATTTATTAATTAGATTATGATTTCAAAACTTATTATTAATTAATATTGTTGCGAATTAAAACGATTTATTCCAGGTTAGTTATATTTTTATTCATTCCTCCCCCTGACTTAACAACCAACGTTCCCCTGGTAACCGCTGACAGTTTTTATATCCAAAGAGTATCAAAATTATATAACATGTCACAAATTAAAAAGCTAATTATCAAAGAATATTTACACGTAACAATATTTATCATATATACTAATATAATAAAGCGTAAACATACACTACTTCGTGGCGTAGGATGACAGCAATCACAGCATATTTTTGAACAATTCTTTTTTAAATAATAAGACCTAAACTTACGACACGCTTTAGGCTATATATTTTTACGCTATTATACTTCGATGGCAAACAAATAGAAAAAAAAAACATCATGTGGGAAGGGGACGACAAACTACAAGCTGTCAACATTTAGGGAGCAAAGCTATTATGGTGACGGTAATTTTGACATTTGCAAATGAGAATTTGACAAATGTATACAATAAAAAATAAAAATATTTTACATTTACATGCGGGTGAAGCCGCACGGGAATAGCTAGTTAATTAATAAATAACTCATCGTTATAATAAAAAGTATTGAACTGATTATACATTATACACTATTTATCATTAGGAAAAAATAATATCGGTTTTTCAAAAGCTTATTATAGTTTATCCGAGAATTGTGAATATTTTTAAAATTGTTTAAATCATTATTAGCTCCTATCCAACCATTCCTTAGGGACCTGTTTTAAATATCATTATGTAGCAAATTAAACGACATATCAGAAATTCCGTAAACGATTAAACTGTACTTTCGTAATTAAGGTGGACTTTTGCCGAAGGTCCGGACTAAATAATTGCTATAATAAATTTCCAACAGTCATTTTGTTTAATGTCGATTTAATTTTAACTCGTATTCATTTACATTAAGGTATCATTTCGTTTGATTATTTTTTTGATTGTTGAAAATGTGAGTCATAGGTACTTGAATATGTGGAAAAGTACCTAATGTACTTAGTAATGGATATTGATTGTGTTTTGTTCGAATCCATTTAATATAGCTACCACTTGTTGTTGTTGTACAAATATAATATAAGTGTTAACGATTAATATATTGTAGTTCGAATTTAAGCCCCTGCCTTGTTTAATAGCAAAGTTTTCTTACGGGAAAAGCAACAGATGGCAATAATAAAATTTATTGTTGGTAATATATAGTTTTTATATATTACATCGAGGATATTAAACTATGACTTAAATCGCATTAAAGTCAGGTATGAAACGATATTTGTTGATACTGAAAATAAAACTGTAATGGTTCATAAAATCTTACATTAAAAAACATTTTACGACATATAACGTCCTGGAACTTAACTCAAACCAGGTCTTTGGATCTTTCAAACTTTGGTTTAAAACGCGGAAAAGAAAAAAATATCTTTCAAACTTAGTATATTATCTTGTACTTATGTAAGTCACCGTGCGATTGCGAATTTCGATACGTACAATGAATATTTCATCATTATCAGTCTTTATTATCCACTAGCTGTTTTCGTGCGACTTCATCTGCATAAAATTATGAAAATTTAATTTTATTGTTTACATGTGTCAAATTATCAATTGCAAATGTCAAAATGACATACCATAGCAACCTTGCTTCCTTGATTTTGGCAGCAACTTATGGTCTCATTCCCACATTGGGGTTTTTATCCAAAATATTTACCCCCTAAGTTTAATGGCGTAAAAATATATAGCCTAAAGCGTGACGTAAGTGTTGGGATTTTTATTAAAAAAGAATTATGTAAAAACATGCTGTAATTGCTGACATCTTAGACAACAAAGAAGTGTGTGTTTACGCTTATTATAATAGTATAGATTAATAAAATATCCTACCAACACCTTAAATGTTCATGTCAATATGTGCGGTAGCCAAAATTCTTTGTTTAAAAAATAACAATTCTGAAAACCAAGTAAAACATTTGACGACGTGTAATTGCCGCATGCGGTACCATACCGCGTCCCCAGCGACATCTTGTGACACGTATAATTTGTGTACAGCTACGATATCAAAGAACAAATTGTCCTTAGTGACAATTTGTTTTGGCAATATAACGTTGTACTTAACTGGCATTCTACTGGCAAAAAAAATTGTATGAGAAAATTTATATGATGTGTTTTTGTATAAGTTTTTTCGACAGTGAACATTAAAGGTTACCTATCGACAGTATAAGAATCTCTTTTAGACTTAGCCATCACTGCATAGTATGAAATAATACATATATGACACGTATATATAATTAACCTACATATAAGTAATGAAAAAAGAAATGTAGTAAATGCCGTAGATGTATGATCGTAGCGCGAGAGATGTGCTACGAAGCTACGAACTTATAAGACACTTCCTGTTGCTCACGACTTCGTCCACGTTAAATTAAGAAATAATTAAAAATACATAGCCTATGTTAATCATAGACAAAATAACTTTTTAACTGTGCAAGAATTTTAAAAATTAGTTTTTGAGTTATTTCAATACATATAAAAATACATTTTTATATAATATCAATTAGTAAAGATATTGTCAATTACATTTTATGTTATTTTTTTATAACATAAAGTGGCAAACGAGCAAGCGGCCAC